CTACAAAAGGTGAGGCCGGGCGGGGCGGGGCCGGGCCGGGCCGGGCGGGGGCTCTTACAAACTGCAGTCCCTGGTATCTGGCGATGGGGAAATCCTTGACCACGTAGGTGGGGGCGTAGGCACAGGGCTCCAGCACGCTCTCCAGGCTCGCGGGCTCCACCCGGGGCGCTGCGGGTGGGAGGGTGGTCAGGGCGCGGACACCGCCCGGGGTCCCCCAGGCCCTCCACTCACTCAGGAAGAAAGTGTCTCGGGGGTCTGGCCGCAGCATGTCCGCTCCTGGCTCCTCTGGTGGCAGACGAGCCCCCGTGTGACTGGCTGGGGACTGGGGCACATGGGCCACCTGGTCCATCTTCAGGGCCGCTTCATCTAGGGTGGACAGGCGTGGTGGCCGGGGCGCCCAGGACCCTCCCAGAGGCCAGCCCCCAGCGCTCCCAGGAGCCCGCCCACTCCCCGAGGCACCTGTGTACAGGGAGAGGTGAGCGGGGCCAATGACCTCGAACTTCAGGCCGGGCAGGAAGGCGCGCCACTGGGGGCAGAGAGGCCGCCGGTCAGGGCGGGCTGGCGGCACGGTCTGCCCTGATGGGGGGCCAAGTGTGGCCCCTGGGGAAGCCAGGAGCTTGGAGGGTGGGTAGGATGGACTGTGGGTCCTGAGTGGGGGTAGCAGGGAAGTTGAGGGGGGCCCAGAATGCTCAGGTCCCCAACCCCTTTCCAGGCCCCGGCTTCCAGAGGCTCCTGGCCTGTGGGTCTAGCTTCTGCCCCCATCTGCTCCAGTCTGGCCCTCCAGGCCCTGGGCCACCCCACCCCCATTCTGGCTACCCCTGAGCCTCCCCTGCTTGCTGCCGCCCCCCCACTCTCAAGCGGGGGCCCCTGGGGCTGACTCATACCATTCTGGACCCCAGCTCACCCAGGACCCTGTCCACCATCCCCTCAGCGCCTGAGCCTCCAGCCTGGACCTTCCACCAAGGGGTGCCAGGGGAGCCCCCACAGAGGCCACGTGCCGCGGCCAGCACGGCCCTCCAGTTGTCCTGCCAGGACTCGGGCCTGCCTCCCTGCGGGCCGCTCCCTATGTCTCCCAGCCCCGTCCCAGCTGGGACCCCTCCCAGCCTCTCCACAGGCCAGAGGCCTGAGGCGCAAACGCACTGGCCTGGCCGCAGGGCCCTCGGCTTCCCATGGATGATAGGCAGTGCCTTCTCGGCTGCCCGGACCTGGAGGCGCTGCACGCACTCCTGGCCTCCTACCACGCTTCCTGTGATGGCCTCTCTCCCCCAAAGCTGCTCAAGACCTGTGTCCCCCTAAGCCCCCCACAGCCCCACAGCCGAACAGATGGGCCCTGCACCCGCCTGGTCCACCAGCTGCCAGCCCGGGCAGGGTCTACTCAGCGACCCTGCAGGAGGGCAGGGCAGAGGGCCTCGGGGCGCTTCACTCACGCCCACTTCCACGTGGTCCGAGCCGCGGTCGTCCTGCTTGTGCAGTAGCTCAAAGTAGTAGCGCCGGGAGGCCATGAGCCTGTGGACACAGAAGTTGGGGTCCCAACACGCCCAGGGGCCCCATGGACGGACAGAGGGCCCAGCGGAGCTAGTTCAAGGCTGGCCGGGGAGTGGACAGACAGTGGATTGGTGTGGCAGGGCAGGTGACGGCAAGTGTGCGTGGCAGGGGTGTGCATGGCGTGGGAGTGCATGTGGGGGTGTGTGTGGCAGGTGTGTGTGACAGGTCAGCATGTGGCAGGTGTGTGGGGCAGGTGTGCACGGCAGGTGTGCACGGCAGGTGTGCGTGGCGGGTGTGCACCGTGGGTGTGCGGGTGAAGAGATGCCGCCAATCCAGCTCCCACGCATACTCGCTCCTCACTCACCGCCTGGGTTTGGACACCTGGGAGCTGAACTTGGTGAATTCCCCAGGTGCTGTCCACTCGGAGCCGGTCTGTGGGCGACACAGAAGGGGCAGGAGGATGCTGGAGCCCCACGCCTGGGGTACCAGCCCCCTGCGTGCCCACCCCTGAGGAGCTGGAGGGGACAGAGACTGAGGCACGGGAAGCCTGGCCACGGCGGCCGAGGTGTAGGCAGGGCCTGGCGGGAGGGTGGCGGCCTGGGTCCGGCCGGCCATACCTTGCCCACAAAAGCCACCAGCTGGGCGCCTGCCGGGCTCTCAGTGGGGCTCAGCCAGAACTCAGAGTTGTCATCCGAAGCCACCGAGAACTGCACATCCCCTAGGGCGGAGGGCAGGGCTCGGGCTGAGCGCAGGGGCACCACCCCTCCCACCACGCCAGGCCCCGCCCACCACTCCAGGCCCCGCCCACCATGCCAGACCCCACCCGTCTGACAGGCCCCGCCCACTGAGCCCGCCTGGCCCCTCCCACCACCCCACCCCACAAGCACCATCTCGTGCTGGGTGGATGAAACCGAAGATCCGAAGTCCGTAGTTCTTCCACTTGGGGGACACAGCTAACTTCTTCACAGTGGTTCGCGTCTGGGGGGCAGCAACCTCTGCTGTCAAAGCCTCCGCCTCCGCCGCC